GAGAAACACAGGGGAACTCTGAAAACACTAAGAAACTAAGAAAATAAACACAGATCATGACAGACAGTGCCTTAAGTTTATATAACAACAGATCCACTGGATTTACCTTGAAGATGCAGCTTCATACGGTTGTGTTCTGAGGAAAGGATTCCAGCGAGACCTAAGCCCGAAACAACAAGTTGTCTCCGCACTCACAGTATTCACTTCCTGTTTAGCCTTTCACAATAAAACCGGATAMAACAAAACAGATTGTACCACACGTACCATGCGTCCAACCTGTCGACACAATCTGTGCGCGCAGATTTTTTTTCCTGCGTGATAGCAATACGCTTCCGTAAGAACACAGAACTGCTGCTGTCTTCTCTGAACAAAAGATAACTTATAATGGACAAAGACGTTCTGTGGTTATCCATATCCATCCGTCCATCCATCCATCCATCCATATGTCAATCCATCTGTTCGTCCGTCCGTCCATCCATCCATCTATATGTCAATCCATCCATCCATCCATCCATCCATCCATCCATCCATCCATCCATCCATATGTCAATCCATCTGTCAATCCATCTGTCCATCCATCCATCCATCCATCCATCCATCCATCCATCCATCCATCCATCCCCAGGTTGCAGTGAGCTGGTGTGTATGTGCAGTGGTTAATGTGCGTGACGGACACTCTGGACAGGTCTGCAGTCTACCACAAAAACACAACTATTCACCCTCTCACTCACACCTACAGACACTTTAGAGCAGGCATGTCCAACTCCGGTCCTCAAGAGCCGGTCTCCTTCAAGTTTTAAATTTGTCCCCGCTTCAACACAGCTGATTTAAATAGATGATTTACCTTCTCAGTTTTCCATCAAGGACTGCAGAGGCCTATTAATTAAGCACTCCTTAGGTTCAGCTGTGTTGAACCAGGGCAACACTTAAAACATGCAGGACACCGGCCCTTGAGGACCGACTTTGGACACCACTGCTTTAGAGAGACCAGTTAACCCAACATGAATTGGTTTGGTCTGTGAGAGGAAACTAAAATAATTGAGAACATGTAAACTCTACACAGACTAAGAACTTGTCACTAAGAGATGACAGATCAGCAGAGACTTTGATCTTCAGAACTATGAGTTTGGATGATTAATACTTACTGTGTTCTTGTAGTTCACACCTGACTGTATGTCAACCAAACCCTTTTCTTCTACACTCCAGATGTTGGTGGGTCATTTCTTTAAAAAGAGTTCTGGTTTTTAAATCAAATCTTTTTCTTCTCATATAGAATAAAATCCAACAGCTGTAAACTTTCTGTGCTTTTAATTACAACTCATATTTTAAACCCATAAAGAGCCTTTATTATTGCTATAATTTCTGCTGCAATCAATAAAACTATTGAGTAAAGATTTAGTGGTCAGCATTTAAGAGATCCAAATCAACTTTGTCATTCTTTAAAACATACAGAGTCTTTGAAAGCAGCTCGTAGAAAATGAACACATTAAACTCTGACTCCCCAGCATCTGCTTTAAATGACAGCAACAACCCGGAGAGAAAGAACCGACACAAGACAGATGTGTCTTCACCAGTTTCCCTTTTCTGAGCCTCCCTTACTCCCTCCTGAAGGTTAGTGGTGCACAGTCAAACAGTATCAGGAAATGAGAGGTCAAATTAAAGTTAAGAGTTTAGTCTTTGAGAAGAACCAAACTGTGGTCCRGTTTAGAAACCTTCTGCTCCCCATGGACAAGACCAACGTCTCGTAAGGTTTACACCACAATGTGGTGTGTGAAATATTTCCCAATGATAGGTAATAATTTATCATTTTATCTTATAATCATCAAAAACAACAGCCTAGAATATCAACCAGACCTGAACGTTACTAATCTGAGCCATTAGCATGCATGCATCATGGCTTTTGTTGATCTAATTCATCATACTATGATGAGGTCTGATATTGAATAATGTCAGTTTAAACCAGGTATGATGACCTTGCTATACCGCTGAAGAAATTTATTGGAGTTTGCTTATATACTGATCTTAATTTCACTACACAAAGCATAGTCTTATTATTAGTTATTATKAGGAGAACTGTAATAATCGTTAAATGTGACAGTTTTGCTTAAATTGATGATTCTATATAGATAGATACATGCCTGAACATGGATTCAACACGTAACTGAAATGTTAATCTGCTTTAGAGTAGATTATCATTGTCTGGAGACATGACTCAAGCGAGTGAGGGACCCCTTCCTGATGACGCAATAAAATAGGCAGAGTCATATCTCGAAGCTTTGTGTTAAATTAAACTGACTTCCGGATGTTTGAGGCCTGAACGCTACTCATTAAAGGCTTCAGACTGAGCGCTCTTCGTGTGGTTGGTTGTATGCAACTCTTTAACATTCAATTTCCATGCATGGGTACATTCTCAGTGTGTGTCAAGCACATAAACTGGTAAACRAACACACTTAACTWTATTTTCTTTYACCGCTATGAACCACATGCGCTACAACAGAATGTGGCAACACAGCAGTAAATTTAGTGCCTCCTTCAGTGATATTTATTCTGACACTGTTGCAAAATCCCACCACATAAGTTTTTCTACGG